CCCGGCCAGTGTAAGGGGGTTTTTTTTTTTTTTTTTTGTAAAGGCGGGGAAGAGAACAGCAAACATTTCTAAGGTCACCAAGAGTCAAGTGTTTCAAGTAGAGAGCAGTAAATATAGAAATAAATGTTCTCCATCAGTGTGGAAGTAATCTGCAGAAGCCTGTACTGGTAATTCAGCAGCGAACCGGTGTCTTCTGAGCACTTCTGTGCTTTTGGGAAATGCACAGCATGCTCCCCTTCTTCCAGCAGCACCGGCCCCGTGTGCAGGATGTGACCCGTGCTGCCTAATGCAAGCAGTTCATGCCTGCCCAGAAGCTGTCAGGAAGTGGCAAAAGTACAGTCTGTCAGCACCTGCAGTGTGTCTTATTTCCTTTTTCGGCTTCACCCCATTTGTTTAAGCAGAAATATGCCCTAGAACTTGGCTTACTTGTTTGGGGTTTTTTAAATTCCATTTTAAAAAAGTAGGCAAGCAAGTTCTGTTTGTGCTCAAATGACCTCAACTGACTTGCAGATCTGGACCAAATTTTAATTAATATGTTGATTTGTTTCCAAAGTTAGATCTGCGGTTTCTTTATATATATATATATATTTTTTTTATTAGATTCAAGCCTCAAGGTACAGGTGACAATGATGCTGACTGAAAGCTGTAAACTCAGAGGACTTCATCACAGGTAAGCTAAGCAGTGTTTATAAGCAGCACTGTATCTGTGTGAGCTGAAAATACTTGTGCTTAAAGCTCCCTAGGGGGAGAGGAAACAGTTTATTCAGAATTTAGCAATATTTTGCATGTTTGAAATTTTTAAGCCATAGAGAGCTGAAACTATTTTTGTGTCACTCTAAAATACAGAATTCTAGATATGCTTCTTATTGCAAAGAGTGCTTATAACCTTTTTTTTCTCCTAGCTGTGCACTCCGTAAAATCAAATGGTAGCAGTGTGTGGGAAAATGGGGAAAGTCTTTGGTTTGGTGTTCCAAGCCTCGCAGTGAAATATGGGTAGATACTCCTTTTATATATTCTTAGTTATTACAGAAAAAGGTGCTGCAGGCACGTGTTGGTTTATGCTGGTTCTTGCACAGGCTAGTTGTTAAATGTGGTGGGATCTTAGTGATGACGAGAGTAAGTATATATGCAGGTTGATTGTCAGTTTAGCTAATTTACTAGTCTGTTTTGTATTGTTCATAATTTTCTACATGGCACAGGAAAGTACTGTGATTAGGTACCGTCCCACATGGACACAAGGAAGTGCTTTTTAGGACTCTTGCACACATGTTGTCCTGGTATGGCATCATAACAACACTGATGGGATTTATTCCTTAAGAATTAATGGCATGGTTTTTTGGTGTGATGGGTTAAGTTTTTTTTAAATTGATGCCCCAAACAGCTTGAGTTAGTGGCAGTTTTGCAGCTTGGATTAAAGGCTAAAATTGGCCTTAAAGATCTTCATTACTGGCAAGGATGCAGGTAAGAAACCGAAGCTCATCGAAAGTCCCTAGACTGGTAACTGATCTTTTTTTACTGGTAATGTGAAGAAATGGAGATAGTTCAAGCAGAATTATTAGTCCTACAGTGCATTTAAAAGTTGCTTTTCTAAGAGTTGTTACAGTTGAGGCCTTGCCTAAAATACAAGATTGTATTAAGAGGAGGAGGTAGCAGGTTCTTGGGGAAACATACTTAAAATTGAAACAAAATGAAACAACCCCGCTCTCATCATTCAAAATCAGCTGTTATCCTCCCTTTTACAAGTCAAACTCTTTAAAAAGTCCAGAAAGCTTTTCTTCTGTACACTGCCTATAAAGCTGGGACCTTTATCTTCATTGAAGGTAGAGCTACATGGGTATGTAGAGCTCATGGATGTGATACCTGACTATCAGACATCTTCAAGAACGAACAGGAAATGTCAAAGTTCCCTTTTAAAAATCATTATAACTCATTGGAGACTTACGAATGTGTTTTCAATAGAAGATACAGTTTTTTAAAAAAATGTTTCATGGAAAATTGAAACTATATACAGTTTGTCTCAAGTTTCTACAAATTTATATGTTGATACTGTAGGAAGATGTTTAGAAACAATGCAGCATGGGGGTTATCTGAGCTATAAGGAGGATTGGAAGGGACCTTTAAGGTGGTTTAGTGGTGGACTTGGCAGAGTTAGGTTAACAGTTGGACTCGGTCTTAAAGGTCTTTTCCAATCTAAATGATTCTATGATTCTAAAACACCTGTGATAAGACTCCTGAGATACTTCTGAATTTAGAGTGCAATTTAATGTTTAGTTGATTCAAAACTAAAATCTTCTGCTCTCTCATTTTGAAGTGGATCAAACATGATGTTTTGACTTTTTTTTTTTTTTAAACCACTGTAATGGAGCCATATTTTTTATATCTATAGTTGCATTTAGAATTATACACTTCCAAGTTATCGCTTCATAATATAAATGATAACCTGTATTCACAGAAATTTATTTCAGCCCTTTTGGACCAAGTGAGAAAATTTGGAGGATTCTTCCTAATGGGAAGGTACTCAAATCTCACTTAACTGAAGCCCTAGACTTTTTTTTTTTTGTTTGGAGTCCTTGTGCTCTGCAATTCATAATGCAAGATTAAGTGCTTTTCTTAGTGTTGAATTACTTTCACTTACTGTGTTTAGCAATCAAGAAGACTTTTATCAAATTTCAATTTCATAAAATGAGGAATTTCTCTCCCTGTCTTCCAGGAATCTGCTACCTATCACTCATGTCTGTATAGAAGAGGGAGAGAAACCAATGGTGCTGCTGCCATACATGAACTGGGGGAACCTTAAACTATTCTTGCGACAGTGCAAGCTGGTAGAGGCCAACAATCCTCAGGTAAACTCAGAAATCTGTGTCTTCTTGCCCATTAAACTTAGACTTGGTTTGTCATCTGTGTATGTGCCTTACAAGAAATAGTTGTGGTATTCATCTGTTCCATTGTGACAATGAGAGAATTGGCAAGCAGGTTCCCTAGCAAGTGTTTGTCTTGATTCCTACAAGGAAAACATTCTTGGCTGTGTTTATCACAGATGTTCAGAGGGCATGAAACTGAGTTAAACTCTGGTTAGGGTAGTAGCTGGTATATCAATACATCTTAAAAAAAACCCTAAAAAATTGAGAAAATGGTATATGATTGTGGATTTAAGTTAGAATACACATGGGAAAATTGTGTATGGAGAAATTTCAGATTTACTGATTTTATTTTTGGTATAATTAATAGATTATCCCTTTAATTACTGTAGTTCTTAATTTTATAGTAGACATAAAGCACTTCTGTTGAACTTTAAAGGTGCTGCTGTAGATTAGCTATTAAGTAAAATAACTGAATTTATTTAACTTTAGATACTAAAGGAAGCAATCTCTGCTGGTTGGCTTTTTTTTACTGCTGTGGGTGCTCTTTAGCATTCACGACTTTACTGTGTTTCAGTAGAACCTGCTGTATATATTTCATAAGAAGTAAGAAAGAAAATATTCCTAGATGAGAACATATTTTGCTTATTTTTAAAAATCTGAATAAGTGTTTAGTGATGAATGTGTATATGCAATAAAACTACCCCTCTTGTTAGGATTACCTTGTCTTTTCTTTTCTTCAACGTCACCTTGGTTTGGCTTCTGTGTCTAGACTGAATCAAGCACAAAATGAAATCTTGTTTCCTGAGGTTAGCATTTGTCCCTGTTACGTACCAGATTTCAGACTAGCAAGGGCCACCTACCTCTGTTAATTTACAAGTTGTGATAAGCTGCTAGGACCTTTCAACTTTGATTTTTACTTGTTTTGCTGCTTAATCTCAGTTGTAAATCCCTATGCAACGCACTAATATCCCTTTCCAAGAATTTAAGCAGAAATGGTATTTATAATCTTACTATGTCAAACAGGAGTTGCCTCTTAGTAACTAGGTATGACTGTACTATCAAAAAATGGGACATTTGGTGTCCTAGATACTTATTTTAAGATGGAACTTTTCTACGAATACCTAAAGCAAACTCTTGAGTTTTCTGAAATAATACATGGCTATTGTTCTTAACCTGTTAATGAAGAAGCCAGCTTATTATTGTTTTAATTTAGTATTTGGTTTATTTTAACCCCAGTCTTGCAACTTCAGTGTGTCCACCTACATACTGAAGTTTCTGAAACACTATAGAAATGGAAGAGGGAACCCAAGGTATAAGTATGTGCAAGGGTTTAATTTATATAGGACTGTGAAGTTGTAAAAGTAGATGGAGCAACAGCCTTTGATACTAGTTTTCAGAAGTAGATAGCAACAAGAATTTTGACTGCTGTTTGTGCTCTGCTGCCTGAAAATGAGTTGGTTTCCAGGGACACAGAAAGTGAAAAAAGTGTGGTAAGAAGGGTAAAATTGAGCATTTTTGCCTGTGTTCACCACTAATCAAAGGAAAAGCTGTGTAGCAGTGAGGCAGTTGCAAATTGGCAACATTTGCCCCGACATTTGCCCCGGCATGTCAAAAAAAAAAAAAAGTTAAAATTTAGAATTCATAAGTCTTCATAAGTTTTCAACAGGTGATAGTGTCTGTAGCTACTAGAAAGCATCAGCCACTAAAGTTGAGGCGGGGTGGGGGGGGCACTTGGATACAACAAAAACACTAACCTCGCAGAATTTATATAGGACTGTGAAGTTGTAAAAGTAGATGGAGCAACAGCCTTTGATACTAGTTTTCAGAAGTAGATAGCAACAAGAATTTTGACTGCTGTTTGTGCTCTGCTGCCTGAAAATGAGTTGGTTTCCAGGGACACAGAAAGTGAAAAAAGTGTGGTAAGAAGGGTAAAATTGAGCATTTTTGCCTGTGTTCACCACTAATCAAAGGAAAAGCTGTGTAGCAGTGAGGCAGTTGCAAATTGGCAACATTTGCCCCGACATTTGGCCCCGGCATTCAAAAAAAAAAAAAAGTTAAAATTTAGAATTCATAAGTCTTCATAAGTTTTCAACAGGTGATAGTGTCTGTAGCTACTAGAAAGCATCAGCCACTAAAGTTGAGGCGGGGGGGGGGGGGCACTAGAATACAACAAAAACACTAACCTCGCAGGCACTGGGCTTGCAGTTTTGCAATAACTGTTGTTGTGTGCTCTTGCAGGCAATTTCCCAGCAGGATCTTGTACATATGTCATAAGTCTTCATAAGTTTTCAACAGGTGATAGTGTCTGTAGCTACTAGAAAGCATCAGCCACTAAAGTTGAGGCGGGGGGGGGGGGGCACTAGAATACAACAAAAACACTAACCTCGCAGGCACTGGGCTTGCAGTTTTGCAATAACTGTTGTTGTGTGCTCTTGCAGGCAATTTCCCAGCAGGATCTTGTACATATGGCTATTCAGATTGCCTGTGGAATGAGTTATTTGGCCAGACGGGAGGTCATTCACAAAGACCTGGCTGCTAGAAACTGTGTGTAAGTACTCCAATGGGGTAGAGTCATCGTGCAGACAATGTTATGTCACTAGCTAGGGCTAGGATGGGCTTTCTCCAATTGACCTGATCTCTACTTCAAAATATACTGCTGTTTGGGTTTTTTCCAAATTGTGACTGAATAGCCTTGTCAGTGAAGTTGTTTTCCCCTAAACATAGGTGAACCAGAAAGCATGGCTTTCAAGAAAGCAGAATATCCTAATCTTAAATACTTTTGCTAGGTTTTGTCTATCTTTATTTTTTCAAAGGCTTGAAAAATGTTAAAGCTTCCCTTAAACTTTAATAAAAACTTGGAATATCTTTGGCTATTTACCAATGGATAGATTTTTGTATGAGGTTGATTTCCTTCATTTTTTTCTTAAAAAAAAAAAACAAAAAACCTAATGGCTTTGATCGCTGGTAGATTTCTTAGTTGTCAAATGATGGATAGATATGAATGTGCTCTGTAAATAGTAGGAATGCTGAAGTAGGGTTTGAGACCATCTTCTGACTGGAATATGCCCTCAAAATGTAGAGATTGTTTGAGGTGTTTGGTGGCTTTCTATAAACCAAGTGACTCAGAGACCACCAACTGTGTTCATTCTCCACCTGCTTTCATACCTAATAAGGGGAAACATAGAAAATACAGTGTTCTGCCTAAACTTAACTGAACATCTGAAAATACCTAAAGGGGCAGTTAGTCCATGAGCTTAGTCTTATGATATCTGCAAATAACAACATAATTCAAGTAACACAGTTACTTTTCAGAGTTCAAGACCATGTTTGAAGCCTTGAATTCAAGTTCTTGATTTGGAGAGACACTTCTTTTTGCCCTTCTCACATCCATCCATCCCCCCACACTAGGACATGTACTGGTCTATTAATGAACTAGCAATGAAAGAAAAGGAGAAAAAAGCAACCTCTGGGTTATACCCCAGAGCTCTGTACAAGTTGTCGGTCAATGAAGTAAGTTCTAATGAGGTAACTGAACTACTGATGAATATAAAGTCTTTAACCTGAAATTGGCTATTAGAAGTGATCTTGAGATTTGATGAGCTCTGTTTTATCATGAATAATTTCATTTATGAAACATACATCATCATTAGATCACTTGGGATGAATGCACATCTTGCATTCCTTCAGTTATGATGCTTCATTTATTTCTGGAAGAAAATAAAATGCCTCATGATCTAGTCATTTGCTTGATTCTTCTTGTGTCTGTTTTATGAAAATATTATTGATAAACTAGTTAGTTTCTCAGAATTGCTGCCCACATCTTCTTGATGACCTTGGGACATGCCTTACATGTAATCTGAGAGGCTTTTTGCCTTAGCAATACCTACAGGGTTTTCTCAAGCCCCGTCTTCTGTCAATGCAAGGGTGTAAAGACTGGAGCACGCTCCCGAATCTTCAGGTTTCTTAGTTGCCCAGGCAGGATGGGTTACTGTCTCGGTTCCTGTTCTTTGGCTTCCATCTCTTTCAACTTCTTGCCACCTTTGTTTTTTCCTTATCTGCCAACACGTTTTCCAGTATACCCTTGGAAATACCTCCTAGGATCCTCAGTGAATCAGTCCCTCCAATATCTTCAAGGCACAGTTGTTGAACCACCTTGTTGTACCCCTTTTTGATTGGGGGCTTGCTTTGATTGCTCCCGCATAGTCCTTGAAGTGGAAGCCCAATTTTCTGTCTTTGCACTTTTCATGGACAGCATGCCCTTCTAGTGTATGGTCTGCCTTGGGGTGATGCCACTGGTGTCTGTTAGAGAGCTCTGAACGTCTGGTCAAGCAATTAATAGTAAAATATGGGTCACATTTCCAACACCAGGATAGGTCCTAGTCCTGAAATTTGGACTGACTTCCATGCATAGCCCCTCAGGGTTGTCAGGGGTCACTATTGCTACAACTTTTGTCCTTCGTGCTTCTGTCCACAAAACCAGTCGGTCCTCTCAGGTGCAGTCTTTTGCTCAGTTCTTCAAATGTCCCAACCAGAGCCAACAGAGCTTCTGATGTGGCATCCCAGGGGCTAAGAGAAAAAGCTGGGAGACACTTAAGCACTCATGCTTGTCCTAGGATATTCTTTTATCTACTGCACCTGTTGTACTTGCACCACTGGCATCAGGCACTGTTGGTGCAGCAAATGCTGGGACAGAGGGAGCAGTGAGATCCACCCTGAAGCCATCCCTTGTGCTTTTGAACTGGTGCCACTGAGCTAGTCCAGCAGAATCTTTCCTGGCTTTTGCACTACGCAAGGATGCTCAGTTTGATACAGTACCTTAGAGACTCTTTTCCTAATTCCTATTGCTTTTCCTCTCTGGTGAACATGTTGAGGAAGAAGTGGTACCTCAGGAGACAAAGATCATAAACAGTGCTCCAGGGAAATTACCTTGTGACAACCTCTCATTTCTGTGCAGTGAATTAATGGCCGCCTGCCCTTGCTGTGCGAAAGGTCAGCAGTCCGAACAGCTTGACTCCCTGCCCTGCTGGGGCAAAGTCCAGCTTCACTTTAGTTGTCATACGTGTGATCCGGAGTTCTGGCAATAAAAATCAATTCATAGTGCACCTGGCACTTCTCCATGGGAAATGCAGGCAGGAGCTGAGCATCTACTGATCTGTGCTGCAGTACAAGAAATCCTGGGCTAGCCTAAAGAGAAAAAGAGGGTGCCAGTAGCCAGGATCCCTTGAAGGGCTTTGTTCATCTGCCACCCCTTTGTTCCCCAGGTCTATTCCTGTGTGGTGAGAGACTGGGAGGAGTTGGTATGAAGTGTATCAGAGCTAGGTACCTGTGCCCTAATTTTGGGAGGGGAGCCAGGACTGCAGTGGTCTTGGCAGGTTTGTTAAGGGGGGAAATACCTTTGGTCTCAAATGCCCATGACACAGTTGGGCCCAGTTGAAGTGGACATATGGATTACACAAGTCAGAGCTCTCTAGTCACTGGAAAATTACCCTTTATATTGTATTTATTTATAGACAGGTCTTCTAGGAATTTCTCTGAACCCTGAGTGATTAGATACGGAAATTTCCTGGTCTATAAATTTTGAGGGCAATGAACTGACCTGAAAGTGCATAGAAATGGGATAAATAAGAAGGTATTTGCGATAGTGAAGCGGGAAACACACAAATTGAGCATTTCTATTTAATTTTTCTTATCAAAATAAAGAAATAATTGACAAGATGAAAAGACAGCAAATGCTATTTTGTTACAATCCGCCTAACCCAATGTTATTTCTATATTTTTGTCATAAGATGTTAAAACCAGCATCTTACCCATATTCTGAAGTTAGCTGTTTATGAGAACATTGAACTTAACTTAAAATAGTGTGTAATAATACGAATGAATGTCCCAGAGGGGGGAAAAATCAGTAGGTTCCATGTGCTTTTTTGAGTCATCTTTTGTAGATTAAAAGTAAGTTTACCTTAGCCAGTATCCTATTTCTGACAACAGTCAGAATGAATATCTCTTGTTGAGGGGAATAAATGATATCTTACCAGATTGCTTGATTAGAGACAAGTTTTTAGGCCACAAATAACATCAGTTGCTTTTAACAAGATATTACTAGATTCTGCTTTGCTTAAATCTTTGGCTCATTATTGCTACAGAGGTACTATAGCTAAAATTTAATTGATCTGACAGGGGATCTCCAAGGGAGCAGGAATAATTTAAGGGAGGAGTTTATTTGCTTTAAGTGTATTTTTTTTTCACTTGCAGATGTTTGATTTTTATTTAATCTAAGGCTGCTGATTTTTCTAGGGCTTATCTGTTAACGCAGAATAAATACGTTCTTTGACAATATTTGATAATCACAGAATAAGCATGTCTTGATCTAGAAGAATGCTAGTCCTTTGAAATGTTGATAGCGTGATTAGTGTTCCCCAATTAAATCCCAAGTCTGAAACTTAAGGTTGAGCATAAATATTTTCTGTAAAACTGTAATGCCAAGTTTGCTAAATACTTCTGTTCTTTTAAATTAGCATTGACGACGCACTTCAGGTTAAGATTACAGACAATGCGCTATCTCGAGACCTATTTCCTATGGACTACCATTGCCTGGGAGATAATGAAAACAGACCAGTTCGATGGATGGCTCTTGAAAGCCTGGTTAACAATGAATTTTCCAGTGCTAGTGATGTGGTAAGTGTTGTTTTTTTTTTCCCTCTTACATTTTGTAAATATATTTTGTTGACATTTTTCCCTTTTTTCAGCCGTTGGAGAATCATGGCACTGAACAGATGAGAGATTTGTCCAGAGCAGCATCTCTACACCTGCTCCTGCACTTGCTGCTTGTGCAGATAGTTCAAAGGTCAAGCAGGCCCTTCCTGCATGGCAAAATTGTCTGTCGCACGCTGTTCTCCGTGGTAGCGTTAGCAGAAAAGGCAATTAAATTCAGTGAGCAATCTGTATTGGGACTTGTCTGCTATTTGAATGAACGTGATCCAGAGTCCACAACAGAGTATTTCAGTTGCAGTCTCACAGATAGAGAAAAGAGGGAAAGAATTACTTCCCTTGACCTGCTGGCTACGCTTATGCTAACACAGTGCAGATTGCAGCTGGCGGCTTTTGCTTCAAGGGCATGCTGCTGATGCATTCAACTTGTTCACCAGGACCCCCAGGTCCTTTTCTGCAAAGCTGCTTTCTAGGCAGTCAGCCCCAGCCAGTCCTGGTGCATGGAGCTATTCATTCCCAGATGCAGGACTTCGTATTTGCTTTCCTTAAACTTTGAGGTTCCTATCAGCCCATTTCTCCAGCTTCTTGAGGTCCTTCTGCAGAACCCTGTCCTCCAGCCTGTCGGCTACTCTACCCAGATCGATATCATCCACAAACTTCCTGAGTGTCCAGGTTGTTACTGAAGATAAAACAGTATTGATTCCTGAGCAATGCCACTAGTAACCAGCTGCTAGTTGGACTACTACTGCTGGTAACAGCAATTTGAGTCCAGCAGTACAGCCACTTTAATGTCAACATCTCACTAATTTGGTATAAGGATGCTGTGGAAGATGTCAAAGGCCTTGCTGAAGTCAAGGTGAACATCCATTGCTCACCCTGTGTCCACTAACACTGTCTTCTCAGCAAAGAACTAGTCAGGTTAGTCAGGCACAGTTTGCTGTCAATAAATCCATGCTGGCTGTTCCCAGACACCTTTATGCTTCATATGCATGGAAATGACTTCCAGGATCACGTGCTCTCCAACATTAGCAGGAGCTGATGTTAGACTACCTGGCCCGTAGTTAGCCGGATCCCACCTTTTCAAGAGAGTGCCTTTTTTCCAGTGGTCAGCAACCTCCCCCAGCTCCGGTGGTCTTTCAAAGATGATGAGAGCAGCGTTGTAATGACTTCAACCTGCTCCCTTGTCGCTCTTGGATGCATCCTGTCTGGTTCAGTGGTCTGGTGTGTATGCGCTTGGCTTCAGTGCAGCCTAAATGTTTTCTCTATGGGCATTTCTTGGTAGTTTAACTCTAAGCTTTGGTTTTCCAAACTCCATCCCTGCATGCTGATGCATTCTCACTGTATTCCTCAAGCAGCCTTCTCCTGCTTCCACCCTCTCCTTCCTTCCTTAGTGTCTGAGCTTAGTCAGTGTATCCATGGTGGCCTTCTACCATGCTTGCTCAGCATCCTGCTCATCAGAACGGACTGTTCTTGTGCTTACAGGAGCTTGTCCTTGAAGATGAACCTGTGGTAATTAGAGTGCTAATTAATGGTAAACCAGTTGCACTATGATTTGTGTCTTCCTGCTAAGGGGGTATTTTCTTTGGTTATGATGCTTTTCTTAACATGGCTACATCCAGAGATTGTAATCTGCATCTTAAAATGTGCTAGTTTAGAAAACTTTTGAAAAGTTCTCATTGTTTTTTTCCTCATTGCCATCGTCTCTGTACTAGTGCTCAAGCCACATAAACAAAAAAAGGGAAGGGAAGGAGTCAGCTCTGTTTCAGAAATACTTAGTACTCATTGGAAAATGTGTGGGGTTTTGTGTTATACCAGACTTGAAGACAGAACAGAAAATAGAAGTTACCTGTAAAAGCATGTTTTTATAATACTAAATGGGATCAATTAAATGTTGATTTCTTACTCGGTTTTTTAAATCTGGAACACGAAAGCGTTCACTGTTCATGAACACTGGACTTGGAAATAAAAGCTTATGTAGCAATGGCAGTGAAATGTAGAATTTTATTAGGATGAAGGCACCTCAGTATCATAACCATTTCAGAAAACTCTAATGCAATTCAGCATATAGTCCACACTTTTAACACAGAACTCCTTTTTGGATTATATATAGGGATAAATGCAACTCAGCTTCTAATACATAGTTCTTAGCATATGTAGCTATCTGAGTTTTGCAATGTGCAAAAATGGACAGTTTTTCTTGGTGTAGAAAATACTCTCTGCCCTAAATATCATCTTTGCATTTACCTGGACGCTTTTCACAAATATGGTGTAATATGTTTTTGTCTACTTGCTAGGAACAAATCTAGTTACCGATTGCATGTAACTTCTAATCAGTGGTGAAATCTTTTACAAACAATTTAGGTGGTGCCTGTTAAGATGCAGTTGGCATGTGTTCTAGGCTCGCTTTTTGGATGCATTTCTTTAAAATGGTTTTGCTGGCTTGAAACTTATCTAGTGTGTTCTTCCTCTGCCAACAGTTATCAGTCAGCCAAAGCGTAGAAAAACAAAACACGATTCCTGTTGAATTTTAATTCTGTGTTTTTTTCCCCCCTCTGTCGGACATGAAGCTCTACATCACTTCATGACATTTTTATCCAGTTACTTACGGAATTAGAAATAGTTATATTCTCAAAGTAGTTTTGCTTGAGTCGCCTTTTATTCTCATGTTCTAGGTGCACCACCACCTGTCCCTCGGCATTTTTCCTAACTGGAAATAAAAAGGATGTCCTCCCCTGCCTTCCCACACTGCTAATAGATGGCTGTTCAGAGCAGGGCCGCATTTGTGCCCCTGCCATTCTCTGGCTCTGAGCTTCCCATCAGTGCCCACTGACAGCATCCCTTAGTTAAGGCTTTGGTTGGGGGTTGGGCGTTTCTTTTGATTAAAACCAAGAATCTTTCGAGGCTTGCAGAATTCTGCCCCTTCTTAATAAATCATGATGTTTGCAGCACTTGTAACTTCAGCATGAATCATCAGTGTGCAGTATCAGCACCATCTATGTTTGGTCTCTTGATACCAGCTAGTAAATCATTTTACTTGTACTGTGCTTGCACATGAATTGATTGATTTTACTTTTTTTTTTATCACCTTAAGCTCCTTTTGGCAAGTATTGTCGGCTGAATGAGGTGTTGAATGCTGATCCAGCTGTCAGGTTTACTTAGATGAAATCTTTATTTTTCTCATGAGTCCTACTTCTGAGCATATACTTAAAATATACAGATGACTGATTTTAAAAAACTATGGTTTCATTCAGTATGCTCTTCTGAACCTTTGAATTTCACAGATCTTTTTTGAGGAATTTCATGTAGTGTTTTGAAGAGGTAAAATGTAATATAAAATTATTATTTTTTTCAAAACAGTGAGTATAGTGTTTAATATTCCTTAGATTTGTTAAGTGTTTTGAAATGTCACACTGGAAAAATGCAGTAAGTACATGATTTTTTAGTACTTAAATCTTAGTGCACTAAGATTTTAATTTTAGTTCAACTTAACACCTGTTCTTTTAGTCTTAATTGGCCCTATTCAAGACAAAGTATTTTCATGTTGAACTTGGATATGTATGTAGCATTTATGTAAAGCTTTCTTACTCTGTGTAGTCTTACTCATGACTGATTTTGTGGAATGACTGAAGGAGCTCTCAAAATTCAGCATGCTCTGTTAATGCTGTACGGTATTTCTTTTTAGTGGGCCTTTGGAGTAACACTGTGGGAGCTGATGACTTTAGGACAGACTCCGTATGTTGATATTGACCCCTTTGAGATGGCTGCTTATTTAAAGGATGGCTATCGAATAGCTCAGCCAATCAACTGCCCTGATGAACTGTAAGTGCGTGCTTTTGGAGAGAGGATAAAATGTCTATTTTGTAACCAGCACATTAAGCCAGCCTTATTAATAAAAGAGCCATGTTTGCCTTCCCCTGCCTGTTTATTCTGCCTTTTAGGCTGACTGTCGTGTAAGTATTTGTGTGGCTTCAGTGACCTACGTCAAGGAACTCAGGCTAAAATTAAATGCTTTTTTGTTGTTGTTGTTGAGGTTCACTTAATCCTGACCCAACTCTTTTCCTTATTCTGACACATGGGAGAAATGGGGTTGACCAGCAGGATGGGAGGAGGGAGGCAAAGGAACCGGGGGTTTTCAGTTTAGTGTTTGTGGGACTGCAGTGTAGGAAGCCACGAGGTTTGTGGGTAGAAGGAATGTCCGTTCTCTCACGAGAGTATGGAGAAGTGCTGTGTGTAATGGAGTTAAATGGCAGTGCTTGAGGTGTTTATTCATAATCCTAATGGTATAGGAGAATGCAAGAGCACGGGCCCTACCTTCTGCCTCACGTGTTCTTCTAAATCCCCTTCCCGTAAACCTACCACAGAAACACTTTGAACTATGCTTTTACAATAGTTGAGCAATTTCCGATGAATTATGTATTGCTTCCTCCTGGATTGCCTCTGACTTGTATCCTAAATCAAACCAGCGCTTTCAGTCACGCACACTTATCGATCATTTTGGGTGGCTGTCTTCTGAAGGAGTTGTTCAGCATCGTGTATCAGAAGATGCAGGGTTCCTTTTCTCTCTCTGGTCAGCAGGTTTTCTAGTGGCAAATGCTGGCTTTCATTTTCAGGTTGGGAATGTGGTCGCCTGGCTTACATTCTCATGTCTTCCATTTGCCTTTGTCTTGCAGGTTTGCTGTGATGGCTTGCTGTTGGGCCCTAGATCCTGAAGAAAGACCCAAGTTTCAGCAGCTGGTGCAATGTCTAACTGAATTTCATGCAGCGTTGGGAGCCTACGTCTGAAACTGCAGAAGAAGATTGAATTCACTGATTGGGAGAAGGCATGGCATACATCTGCAGCTCCATGCATCACTTGGACTCACACACGTGATGTGTATAAAGCAACACCAAAGGGAGAAAGCACTTCTTCCAAAACACTGTGCCTTAGAATGCTTTAGTAGTCTGAAATTTTTTGTAAGACCTCTTGATGTTGAATATTTTCTAGATATCACTTTTGCTAAGTTAAATTGAGACCTTTTTATTTGCCATCAGGATTTTTAAAGTGTAGTGATAGTGAACTTAAACATGAGATTTGGATGGACTTTGCACTCTTACAACAGACGTGATTTTTTTGAAGGGTATATGGAACTGGTAGAAAAGTGAGGATAGGGGAAACTAATGCAAAAGCCACACTGCAGAAAATTTTCCCTGCTTTTTAAAAATGTTGAAACTAAATCTTTCTGACCAGCTCTAGTGTTTGTACTTGTATGTATCTGGAATAGCTTTTTAGTATCAACTTCTTCTATTTTGAGACAACAGCACATTGTGGTTAGATCCACAAGCGGCATCTTACTTTTTAACCCATTCACAAATGTTTTTTGGAAAAGCTGGTCTTCAGGATACAATATCCCCTTTTTTAAAGCAGTAAGTGATTGTGTAAAAGTGATTCCAGTTTACCTCATACAGAGAGTAGTAAAGGTGGGGTAAAAATGGTGTCCCTCCTTGCAGATAAAAGGCTGATGTGATTTTTAAGATGGTTTTATGTGCTAAATAGAGGCCTTCAGAGAAGCGCCAAAGCAGCCCTTGTGGTAGAGTCTTTCACCTCAGACTTCTGGATTGCAGTTTCTCTTGTTCAAAAAGGTACTGGTTGTTTTTTATGGGCTTTTATGGCCTGAAATGGGCTTAAATATATAAATATATATTTGTAAAGACACTTGCAGAGTAAAGAATGTTTTTCTATTACATCTAATGTGAAAGCTTGGTCCCTCGCATTGCCCTGTGTATGGAACGTACAGGTTGGTGGTTGTCATTGGGCTGGAGTTGGTATGAAGACAAGGTGGATTTCCTTCCTCCCTCCTTGCAGAACTAGTCCCTGAGACTTAATATATTGTCTTGCTGCCTTCTTTAACCCAAATATCCATTCCACCCCAGTTATTTTGAGTTGAACATTACTTAAGAGGACTGAACAAGGTATTTCAGGAAAATGTGTGGTGATCTGTTGATTCAGCCTCAGTAACTTTCAGATTCTATGTATAACAAAGTTATTTTTAGAATAACTTCCAGTTCTCCAAGTGAACTGTAGGTTGCATCCTCTACGTGGTGGCACCATGAGGCAGGCTGCACTTTAGCACAATGTGAAATGTGAAAAATTGCCTTTTGTTTCGTGCTGTCTTCAGAGTAAAGCACCCATAGCCTCGAGTGTTTGTACAACTGCATGGTTGGGAGCATTGCCCTGACAGGCTCCGTAGCAATCGTAGCATTTTGGGAGACTCTGGTGTGCAAGCATGAGCAGCTGGATTTGGCTATGTTGGGCGGTTGGATTTGGCTGTGTCATGCAGGTGTGTAGCTTTTGTTCTTTCCAAAGTTCTGAATCTTGCTGAAGAAAATTAATCCTTTCTAATTAGTATCATGTGAGGCAGAACTTTGTGCGGTCTGTTCTCAGTCTCACAGGCTGCACCTTTGCATTGCCGAGCTAAAATGGAGTGTCCTTCAAAATGCAGGAGCTTTCCTATCTGTACTTCGGTGTCAGTTATCTGTGGCTAGTGAACCAAGTCTTACTTTATCCTAGAAGGAAAATTTCCTGCTGGCTCAAGTTTGGGCATGTTATGACAGGCTGTGTTGGCTTGAATGAATTGAAAGTGGTTTCATTTGGTTGGCTTTGGAGTCACTGAGTTTGTTGGGGATAGCAGTAAGGCTTTGGTTGTGTGGAATTCTGTGGTCTTTTTCCTTTCTGACCCAGGAAAACTACCCAATGTCAGTACTTGTTTACGATGACTTGGTTGTTAAACCTATCAGTGGCAGTTATTCGTATCCAGATCTGTGTTATGATGGGATCTAGAGAGGTCATAGCTGTATGATTTACTTGAGATTGGAAATCAACCCAGGGTGAAAACGGTACACATATTGCATGTACTTCACAGGATAGCATACGCTTCACTGAGTGCACTGTAGTAGTCACAAGATGCACATCTTGCAAGATCTGTTCACATCTGATACATATTGGAAGTGACATCTGACCACTGTGGCCTTAAGGTGGGTTTAGGGATGTACTGTGCTTCAAGCTGCTCCGCTCATCAGCGCGAGCTGGGAATGGTAAACTATGTCAGATTTTCCTTCGATAGGCTATTTCTCATCTAATCCCAGATGAGTGTGCACATCAGTAGAGACTGAAGTGGTTTAGTGTGGTGTTAAGGTATAGATACAACTACCAATTTTGGAAATTCTACTTTCATTTAGACATGCTTCACCTACAGGGGTTAAAGCTAAGATAGTCATTTTGCTGATAGCAGAGCTACCTGGAGTAGATGCCTTGCAGGCGTTTATTGTACCTAGGATTGCAAATAGCTTACATGCTGGCATTTTTCTTCACTGCTGCATGTGATACATCTTAGCTCCATGGCCTTTTAGGAAAGCTCTTGAGGAGCAGGTCACTTGGGTAGAAGATTGAAAATACAGACTTTCTGGAAAGAGAATGTTATCGGTAGCCTCTACTCTTAAAGTACACAGAAAAGTCTCAGTATTGAAGTTTGGATTGATCAATACTTGTTACCTGAATACAAATATACACCCTCTTACCAAGGTCCGGTATAGCACCGTGTTTCATGCTGGAGAGGCATCAAGAGCATGTTGATGATAGTCCTCAGGCTTACAAGCTCCAGTGGCAGACTAGGCTGGAGGTGTGTTTTGTGTTGACAAGAAGAGGATGAAAAAAGGGTGGCTATTTTGGACATACTAAACATATCAAATAGTCTTTCTTCAATGTTTTTTCCACATGTCTGAACAGGAGGTAACAGGGTCTGGCAGAGAGGTACAGCCTGTAGACCTGATGTGTAGAAAAGATGTTTTGTGTGTGTGAGAGCCACGAGATAAGGGCTTTCTCAGCCATTTCTTTCTCCTTTAGCTCCTATCAAATTTCTGGGGAAAATAGCAGGGTGGGGGTGGACCAGTTCTCTCTGCACCCAACCCTCTGGAGCGTGATAGTTCCTTGCTGTGGATTCTCTGTAAAATAATGTTATTGGAGACCTCCGCAAGAGCCATTTCACTTGGAGTACTGATATTGAAACTGTATGGAAGGTGTTGTGGAGGGGGTTGGGGAAGCAGCTGTCAGTAACTCTCTTGGTGGGCTTAGAGACAAAAATGAGTAAACCATGTGGGATGAGAGTGTGAGTTTTGGATATTATAGTGCTCCTTTATTAAGGAAAAGCCAAAGGAGAGGCTTAGTAGAGCAGTAAAGGAAACAGTATGAGAGTGACCCTTGGGAGAGCTAGATGGAGCATGACTGGTAGGTAAGTCAAGAAGGTAAAAGAACAGAAAGCTGTGGTTACAGGAAAGGGAGGAAATGGGGAGGATTGTGGCTTCCAAGTTTTTTTCTTGGGGGGGGTATGCTGGGTGAAAAAAGTAGGCAAGAACAGGTAAAAGGCTAGAGGTGTTGAGCATTAAGTGCAGGGTGTCATGGGACTCCCTATGGAAGCGGAGGTCAGGGTTGGTTGGGATGACTTACGACAGAGTAGGGCTTCAGAGTGAAGGAAGGGATCAAATCATGGAGAGAAAAAACAATGGTAAGAGAGGAGAAGGCTGAGAGCAGACAATTCATCAACAGTGATGGGTTGAGAGCTATGGAGGTGCTAAATAAGGAATATGAAGGGTGCCTGGAAAGCAATGCTAAGAGAATGGCTGCTCCATGGGCAGTTTTTCCGTGTAACTCAAGAGACACCTGGGAGGATCAAAGCACTCTTCTTGGCTGTCTTGGCCAGCCTTCATGTTCAGGTTGTCCTCTGTTTCCCACTGCAACTGTCTCCAGGTTTTCAGCGACAGGTGAGGCTGGCATGGCAAAAGGAGGTGCATGTTGAAGATGGTGCCATTTGTTTTTACTAGAGGTGACCTTGTTTTATTTAATTTAGGTTTGTTTAATTTTTCTTGCTTGAGTTTGGCACTAAGAATCGGCACTCCACGCCAAAGTGTTTGACTGATAGCCTTTGTGCTAGGATTTGTGAGAAGGTTTTCAACTGTTTGCTCTGGAAAGACGCGTGTATGGTGTGCTCTAAACTACGTGCGTGGAAAGGGCTTGAGTCAGCTGGTGCTTTTCAGAAGAAAGTGGAAATATTGCTGAGACTGTGGAATTTGTGTAAGGGTATTGAGTTTTGAGCATTTTTGTGGTAGATGATGGATATGAATCATTTTGAAGAAAAGGAGGATTAAAAAAAAGAAAAAGTCCTCCGTGAAAAGAGTGGTATGAGTACATCAACCTCATACTGCACGAGTACATTCCTCACAGGTAAATCTGCGTACTTGGGGCCAGGTATAAATTTGGCTGTCTTCTGCAGTTCAGTCCCAAAGTCCTGTAGTGCCAGCTCTGAAATGCTTACCTTTTGAAAGTAGTCAAATACACATGCCACACAAATACACATACCAAATACAAATGCCAGTGTTAAAAAAAACCTCACTTCACACGAATGAATGTGAACATGCATGAAGGGTGTTCAGGTAAGCCTTGCTGTAGTGTTCTGGGAAGCAGGCCTTGGTATGTTTTCTAGCTAACACATGGTGTATTTTTTCAACATGGCATGTGACTTGTAGTGCGAATGGTCTGTGATCCAAGGATTGTGGGTGTTAACTCAGCTTAAGAAATCTCTGTCAGGTGAACTCCTCTTGGTGTTGGTGGATTGTCATTGCAGGATGCGAGGTGAGTCCAGCCGTAGCCTTTGATCTCAGCACAGGAATAAGAAAATAAGAAAAAGTGCAGGCTGCCTCCTGAGGCTAGCAGCCTGCTGAGAACTGATGTGAGTGAGGTTTGATCCAAGTAGCTTACCAGAGCCACAGAGTGCCTGATAAGGAGCTGATCTGGCAGCTGAAATCTGCAGTGCTTCTGCTGGGGGAGTGAGGCTTTTATGCCCTTGCACGTCCAGGTTCTTAGAACCAGATAAGGACGTTCCTGCAGCCATTCGTGCACTCCACGTGGTGATGCTCTTGGTAATTGCTGCTTCCTCCCTGGTAAGGATGTGGAGAATGTGTCTTCTCTCTGGGGTGCCGCCTTGGAAATACCAGATTGAAGTGGTGTTACAGGGAGGGAATATTTTAGGGGTGGAGGGAACATGCTTTATTTCTGATGGCTCATCTCATTCCTTTAAGGAGTGGACCTTGCCTATCCTGACCTTTAACTGTATGTATCTTGCCTTGGAGCAAC